GAACACAGGATCATTTCATGACTGTATTTTCGTCGCGACTCAAAACCTATGAAATTGAATATTCTCTATGTTACGAAGCAGAATATACTCACGAAAAAAAAAAATTTTTAAAGTTTGCGTTCCAACGCGTTCACTACGGCACGTTTATCCATGTAAAACACTACTCCTTTCGATATTAACGCGTTTAAATTGTAATTTTCTTTCCTTCTTCTCAACATCAGTTGTTTAACATATTTTACCTTAAATATGTATTTCATTCATTCACATCACTCTACTTAACATTTCTCAATAACTGCATTCGATTTATGAAATTTTTCCAAAGAAGTATCGCTGTCATAGTGCAAGAAGTCGAAATACCCTACATACTCGAATACCTTCTTTTGTCGAAAAAAATACTAACCACAAGTAAGACATGAATCCTGCATTATCAACACCTACAATAACTTAACGCAAGATTTCATTATAAAACTAAATAGAACGAGATATATTAGAGTAAGTTAAGTATTTGGACTTGCACCATAGCGACGATAGTGTAGGAAAAATTTCGAAAATCTAGAGAGTTAAGTTATCGAGAAATGCAAGTAGAGTAGTGCGAATCAGTGTTTTTAATGATTAGTGTACACCAGCAGAGCAAAGTGTACGTACACTCTGTTTTTTTAGAATACACTTTGTTTTCCTATGAAGTACACTCTGAAAATAAAATTTTTGGCTTAGCAAAGTGTATGCGTACACTGTTCTTCGAAATCCTATTAAAAACGCTGCATCCAACATTCATCGACGGACTATATGAGAAGACTATTGAAAAGAAAAAGAAACGATTGTATTGTAATAAAGTAGACTGCAATGGTAATGGGCATATAGGCACTATCACTTTATTCTTTCTCAATTTAATCACTGTCATACGAAGAGAGTCGAGTTAATCTTTTATACTGAAGTAGAAGCTATCTTGTTTAAGATGTAGAGGAATTCAGTAATATATATATATACAACCGTTTTGTAACAAAGTCTATCAGGGTTATGACCAGAATATTGTATATGGTCTTTCGTACCTGTGCGATAATATTGAATATAGAATAATCAGTTTTGATCATCATATCCATATTAATACAAACAATGTTATTGAAAAAAGTATCTTACTATCAATTTGAAAATCAACTTATCTTTATTCGTTATCCAATATTGACTGAGTCTAGTTAAAGAATATGCTTTTGTTAGTCTACAGTTATTATTTAAAAAAAAATATATCTGCTCATTGAATATAATTCGAATATATTCTCTTTTATTATATATAAACCAGTTGATGTAATGAACAGTAATATCTGACTCTAACACGTTTGTATTTGGTTTCATTTGATATTTGTTCTACTTGGACTAGATTCTTATTCTATAAAACCAAGTTCTTACTCAAATGACGTAAATTCAATCAATCGTTCCAACGCATCTCAAGAATATCCGTTTTCTCTAGGAAAAACGCATTAAGAAAATAGCGTTTCAACGCGTTTATAAAAAACGAACTTTTCAAGAAAAAACATCAAAAGAAACGCGTTTTAGCACGTTTGTTTAAGAAGATTTCGTTTTTTACTTGAAAAACATATTTAAATACATACAAAAAAAACTCATTAGAATGCATGATATTAAACGCGTTCTAACGATGTTTTTGATAGCGTTCGTTGGGGTGGGAAATGCGTTTTCTTACTAAAAGTTGACGTTTGAACGCCAATTTTTATAAATTTTTTTTTTCGTGGGTATAACAGAATATTTCCATGTGTAAAATAAATCATACAATGAATTTGTAGATGAAATTATGGTTGCCTCAAACACATAGCATTTTTTGAAATCTAAATTGTTGAATACTCAAACTTGATACAGATCGATGAAACTTTTCATTTTCTATCTAAATATTCATACTAGGCATTGAAAAACTGTTTTAATCTGTTATATGTAATGAATATGAGTACTTCTATTTAAAAAAAAAACAATAATATATGTAGAATGTGTGGATCTTCTTTTCTCTGTTATCGACACCAACAATCTCACGCTGGACAGTTTCTGTTCTATTATTAATATCATAGTGTATCAATTCAACAAGTTTACTTTATTTCTGTAGAAAAAACAAAACATATTCAAGCAAGATATTTTGTGCGATAATATGAAAGGCTATCGAGAGTATGCAAATAAGTTCTTTTCAAAATCAAAATAATTCGAGATTACTATTCGAAAGTCTTTTAAGAATATGAATATTTCGAACTGTCATTACCATATTGAACCATATACTGCTCTATAAGTTCATCTATAATAATCTGTTCTTATTGTTTTTCATCCCAATTATCAAACCAACTGTCTATACTTCCCATTAGAATTTTAACTATGTACTATAAACAAAAGAGATAGAAAATAATAATCAAACAATCGATATGATTTACATCACCAAAGCTGAATGGAAAATGTTTGCCACGATAGGCTTGAACTTCGTTTCTTTCAGTTCGATAGTCGTCGACAACATCAAGGTTTGGAATCTTTTTATCCCAATTGTTCAAATATCCTATACATTCTTGATCATCTACAATGAATAATAAGTTATCCGTCAATATGTTTCAAAATAAACGAAAAGATGTAACACAATAAAGAAAATCATAAAATATTGCTTTGATGCTTTCAATTTACCTGTACATGCAATGATTGTAACTGGAATTTGATTAGTAGGTGTACGTTCATTTTTGAGAACTTGTTCAAGTGTATGAATATCTGTACGTTCTCGATCGTCTGTTGGTATACCATCAGTTGCTATGAGAATGAGCAACTTGCGTTCATAAATATGATTACGCTTGTCTTTAAGTACTTGCCGAAGAACGGGTACAATCGGCGTTGAACATAAAAAAAATAAAGAATTCAAATAACAGTCATTGAAAAAGACCTGAATTTCTTATCTACCTTCTGGCTCCATAGCAAAGATATTTTCTAATTCGGACCCGCTGCGCACATGTAACATAGGCTCACGATTAAGAAAATAGACGTCAACACCATCTGGATCAAGAACACTAGCCAAATCAACAACAATCGATACTGTTTGTTTTAATTCATCCCCTAGAAATGGCAATAAGAGTAATATTAAAATATCATTATCGTACTAAATAAAATCTTACATCGTGTTCTTTGTTTTTCACGTGGATTAGTAACTTCTCCTGAAAAACCAAGGAAATAGTACATTGATGAGAAACCCAAAAAAAAACAAAGACATTATAATGACATACCGACTGGTGCGCTCATCGAACCTGAATCATCACAAATAAAAACAATCTCACACCCTCTCAGTCCATATAATTTTTCAGCAAAACTTGGATTAACTAAATAAATTTATATATCAATGATTCGAAGTGTACTGGAAGAAATTCTTACTTTCATAGCGATTGATAAATTCATCAAATTTAGGTATGCGCTCTTGTTGTGATTGAGCATAATTTTGATTTGACGAGTTGTCCGAACGATATTCCTGTCGATTATCATTGACAATGGAATAGTAAGGCGGTGGAGGAGCAGATGGTTGTTGATGCTCACGTGGATTCATTCTAGCTATAACAACAAAAAAATGTCTAATATTTATTTATACTCTACGTTTTATCTGAATAAAATAATGTTTGTGTGTGAAGAACGCAAAAAGCAACTAGAATAAGTTATAACGATAAGTAACGGTTTACATACGCACACACAAAAAAAGCAACATAGAATAGATTGAGTCAAGAATAAAAAAAAAACTTTGCCGAGTATTACTATGATTATTTCTGACGAATAGAATTCAAACAAGTCCACCTGTCATTGCTTCAAAAGAATATCGAGTTTTTCTATGTTAACTCTCACTTCTTAAAAAAGTGTCGATGTTATCAGTGGAATATAAATTCAAGAAAGTGAAAATTTTCTATTACATAATTTCACACTTCGTTTTCAGTGTCTTTCTTCGAAGAATATTCGGTAAATAACTTGTCGTCATTTTTTGTTTGACAATAACTCTATTGCCACTACAATGATATTTAGCCGCTGTGTTTTGCCTTTTTTCTCAGTTTATTTTTGGTGCTTCAATTCACTGAAAACACATCTCTGCGTCATATTTCGTTGAATGCGAGTCACACTTCAATACATACTCTATTACAAACCAATAGAGAAATTGATTCATCCATCAAGATCATTGAAACCACCATACAGATGCTACTCCCAACCAGCTGCGTATAGATGTCCGTTTTTTTAATTGCCATTTAAAGAATAGAGACATCTACAGAAACATGATATTATACTGCAAAACTCAATTATCCAAGCAGGCAAGAAGTTCTGAAAACGCGGTTAAACGCTCTAATCCTGATTACCGTTTGTTTTTCCGTTCGCTAAGAAAAAGCCCAAACTGGCTACTTTCATAATATAAAAAGTGCTTAAAAAGGCAACTTTTATGATCAAAGTAGTTGAGTTTGTCGTTTTGTGAATGGACGTGAAAACGTTCAAACAGAAACCGCACTTAGAGTGTTTCAATAGATTTTCAAATTTCTTGTGTGTCTTCGATGCATCGAAAACGTCTTCTAACTTAAAGTGCTTGTTTTTCATTACTACTACTTAATGAACTATTGAGCTTTGTAGAAGAGCATTCGTTCTAATAGATTATTGCAAAAAACCAATAAATTGGCTCATAACTGGTTCAGGTTAAATTGAAATACTCATTAACTTTGGTGTCGCTACTTCTAATTTAGTAAAAAATCAAAGAATAGAGCACAAATTCAAATCGATACTAAGGATCTAACATATTCTCTATTTTATTTTATCACTGTTCACTTGACATAACGATTCACTTTGTTATTTTCTTGGCAGAAATATGCACACAACGTACAACACAATTCATTTTCAAAGAATGAAACATGGCGCTAGATTTTTCTCAAAAGCATTAGGCTCTTTGTTAGAGTAAGGATAAACATATAAGCGGTGCGTAAGGAACAAAAGAAACTCGATGTCGAAAATCTGATTTACAGAATTTTTTTAATCCATTCTTCGATGGCTTGATTAATTGCTCCAGGCTGCTCTTCCATTAACCAATGACCAGTATCGAAATCAATTATTTCAATATCAGGCGTAAATGAATTTTGTTTTGGAAGAGATGTTTCATGACAGATATCGATCTGCTTTCCTCTCATAAAGAGAATTGGACGTCGAATAGTTGGATCAATATTTTTTTCGTCTTTCCAATCAACATTAGCAATAGTTGATCTGTACCAATTCAATTTTGGTTGCATTGCTTTCGTAAGATATTGACGCACGATATTATAATAATTATCTGTCATATAAAAAGCTCGATCAGTTCTATACTTATTGATTAACCATTGTCGCATCTTTCCAGTGGAAGTAAATTCTGTCTTGAAAAGCGTTGTATTGCTGGCATAGACAAGATCAATGAAACTTTCTAAATTATTTTCAATAATTGTGGCAGCATCATCCGAATCAAAGAATTTCCAATAACCTAACGCATCATATCCACAATATGCTGCTGAATTCACTATTGCTTGATCAAGATCAAATATGCTTGGTGGCATGTAAGCAGCACTAAGAAGGACAAGACCCAATGTTCGTTCAGGTTCATACAGAGCAATACGACTCGCAGGTTTCATACCCCAATCATGTCTAATGATAAAAACTTTATCTAAATTCAAGTGATTAAGAAGAGTCATAAAATGATCTACCATTGATTTGGCCCTATATTCAGTTTTGTTCATTGGAGAATACGATTTGCCATATCCCATTGTATTTGCTGCCAAACATCCGTATCCTTGTTGTGAAAAGTACTCAACTTGATGACCCTAACAATGGAGAGATGACGGAAAACCGTGAAGAAATAAAAAGGTCGGTTTTTTAACACCACAATCATCATGTGCTTCGACATAAATATAGTCGTATGTAATACCGGGAGCAACTTCGTACGTTTGTGTTTGCAAGGTTGACTCAGATTGTTTTTCAAGATTTTTGCTGGTATGTTGGTTTTCTAGTGGTGGTAGAGATACGACAGATGTTATTGGAAAACAAGCGAGAAAAAGAAATAACAAGTGAAATACGAAGTATTTTTTAGTATACATTTATTTTTATTCGAATGATTGACGAAAATCGATCTAAGATACAAAGCCTCCTACACATTCCTTATTCTCATTTCTTTTTAACTTAATCTCTATTTGCTTTGTTGTTCTTTGATTTACCTCGAATTCAATATTACTATTGGACTATAGTATTTGAAAACAGATATTGTCTTTACCGCTTACATATTGTTCTTCATAAATATTTGATTAAAAATACAATGTTGTGTTGGTTTCATTGAGTGAATTGATAAGATTATTACGATAACAAGTGAAGAGGATTACTGTACACAGATATTCTCTTGTTCATCTCGTGCATTTTGTTGATACAGTGATTTCATCAATGATAATCAGTCCCAAACGATAAATTTTTGTACGTTGTGCATGAACAAACCAATACATCTTGCATAAATTTCATATGAATTTTCACCATCTGCGCCCCAATGAAGTCATTCTGTAACATGATGTTCAATATGTTAATGACACAGAAATGCATTGAACGTTTCAATTTGTCCTAGTTTGTTGTACGAATCATTTGTTTTTTCCAATGAAATCAACTTTTTTCTGTTGTCTTGCCTCTCATTTCTTTTACGTTAAAAGTAATCTATTTTTTGTAGAATTATGAAGATACAGGGTGTCTCATAAGTTGTGGCAGATTTTTTTAAATCTAATTT